CGCCTCCTCCCCACCATTCTGCTCTTCCTTCTCCTTTTTTTCTGCCTGACCGAAGTTTAACAAGATTCCACAGCGCATCACAGGCAAACCCCACCCGGCCGTCCCCCCAGGTGCCGGACCCGCGGAAGACGCCGTCCGCCACGGTGCTGCGACGGGCCAGTCGCTGACGAAAATGTCCACATCGAGGTAGAGAGCAGCAGAGGTACATGTAGACCTGGAGCAGCCCTGCCACCCGTTCCTGCATGTCTCATCTGCCCGCCTCGGCCCACCTCTGCTCCCTTGCGCCGGCCGACCGGTCACGAATCCTTGGCGTCAAAGTACTTGCACATGCACCCCTCTAGTACAGAGCACCACGCTTGTCTGCCTTCTCGTGTGAGACATTGTCGAGATCCTGTTTGGGACCGTGATTTTGGCGTCCCCCTTGTCCGCGCAGCACGGCACTTCTGCGCTGCAGAGATTCAGCAGCCTGCGTTCGGCAGTCTGCCTAGCGGGGGTGGGACCGGACCAGCGTGTCGGCAGTGCCACGGATGATGGGCAAAAGGAGGGGGGCTGGACATACGTATCTTCTCAGAGAGCAGACCGACATGGAAGAATCCGAACAATGAATGGCCGTCTTGGACCCAGGCAGGCGGGTTGCAAGCAAAATGAGACGTACTAAACGCTTCACCCCAACCACTGTACCTAGAATAAATGCACAACACTACTACGAGATGCCTACTGGATACAAAATTAAAGTAGCTGTTGAGTATATATATCAGTATAACATGCCCTTTTCTAAAGGACGGCTTTTTGCCCAGAATGAAGTTCTAGAGTCGTTATAGAAATGCAAGGCTGGATAGCTGGGTAGTAGGAATGGTTATGGGGGAGGGACTCGGTACGTCTCATTTTTGGGGGGGGGGGGCGCAAACCGCTGGCCAGGCCCTTCGCGGCCCGGCAGTCTACCGAACACGCGCAGGGTTGAACAACTCGCGGACAGAAAGGGAGACGGCACACAGGCAAGGGACAGGCTGGAGGCAGCATGATCAGGCGTAAACATGTATTGGAACCATGTGCTGCTGCAAGGCTTAACACGAACTCATTGTCCCCCCCCGGACCCCGGCATCCCCCCCTCCCCTCCTTTCACACTTTATACGGCTTGCACGATCGGGCGCTGATCGGAGCGCGATCGAGAGCCCGAAACCAGCATACGGCCCCAAACCGGGCACGCCTCAGGGAGAATGCGCGCGCGAGCTCGCGGGAGAGGCACAGCCTCATCACGTCGCACCTAGCAGCCTCCCCGTGTCGCACCCAGCAGCCTGGCGTCGAGATTCACCCGCTGACGCAGCATCACGGCGGCGGAGTGGTGCTCCCGTGCCGGCCCACGCTCCGCGCGGCAACCCCGGCCCTACCTCTGCATGCTGCCAATGACCTCGCGCTGGGCCTGCCTGTCGCGGGCGCCCTCGCTGAGGCTGCCGACGCTGCGCAGGTCGCCGACGACGTCCTTGGCCTTGCCAAAGTAGACCTCCTGCAGCAGGTTGCGCATCTTGAGCTCCATGTCCTCGACGAGGCGGCCAATGTTGGCAATGTGGCTCTCGTCGCCCTCGACGGCGAGCTCCTGCTCGACCTGCCGCGTCATGTTGCCCGACAGGTCCATGGCGCCGAGGGCGGCGCCGCTCGTCGCGAGGCTCAGGATGACGGTCGACGTGAGCTTGTACTGCGTCGTGCGGCCGCGCTCAATGGCCTCGAAGACGTGGATCGAGTCCCAGACGCCCTCGGACGCGGCGCCGGGCGTGGCGGCTGGGCTGTTGGTTAGTGGATGCATCGGGCAAGAGGAAAGAACAAGGCAGAAGAACTCACACTTCTTCAGCAGCACCACCCCGGCAAAGCCGTCGTCGAGGTTCCAAAAGTAGACGCTGCTGACGCCGCCCTCGTAGTACAGCTCGCGGTAGACGTCAAAGGCCTCGTTGGCCTTGACCTCCATGCGGCGCACGCGCTCGCTGGGGATGGCGCCCTCGCCGGCGCCGTCGTTGGCGCCGCCGCCGCTGACGCCGCCGGGCCCGGCCTCGTCGAGCGGCGGGTCAAACTCGTTGCTCCAGGGCGACCGGTGGCTGTCGCCGTCGCGGTTGTAGTCGCAGAGGAGGTAGTCGCGCCCCGTCTGGCGGCAGCGGCGCACGCCGAGGGGCTGGTCGACCGACGAGAGGAGGTCTTCGGTCAGGTCGGGCGCCAGGGAGATGATGGAGCTGAGGTGGGTTGCCGTGTGCTTGGGGTTGAGGCGGCGGAGGAGGTCGCTGGGGATTGTCAATGGGCGGACAGCAAGGAGAGCAGCAGCAGCAGCAGCAGCAGCAGCAGGGGGAGCTTACAGCGCCGAGTCGAAGGGGTCGGCGGACGCCATCGTGATGATGTAATGTGTGAATTGGCAGAAGACAGTCTGAAGCTGTGGTGTGGTCCGGGAGAGGGTGTGGTGCGGTCGTGAATGATGGGAGCTCTGGTCGGTTGACGTAGGGTGGTCTGGATCCTGGAGAGCCGAACAGGCGATGGAGAAAGAGTAGATGTCGTTCGGGGCGTGGCGGGGTAAGTGGCACGAAACGGGTGCTGATCGACCCCAGCCTCGACGCGCCGAAGCTCGCCGGAGTTGGGGGAAGGCCCAAGGTGCCTAGGTACCTGTCTACCTACCTGGATAGCATTCCTAGGAGGTACCTGGATAGCATTCCTAGGTACCTGGAGAGGTGTTGTAGGGACCTTAGGGGGCAGCTTAGGATATCCACCCGCCAATCACAGATCCTCAGGCCTCGCACTGCTTTGCTTAAGGTAGGTACCTAGAATTACAGGTACAAGGCTCAGGCTGAGTGACGAGCTCTGCCAACATGTCCCACATCCACCGAGAGAAACAAACACCATGCTCATTCAAAACAGAGATACGAATGAATATAGATGCCATCTCACCCAGGTCGCCTCGACCACAACTAGCACCAACGCTCTGCCACATCCAAAGCCTCACCACCTCGGGCCTCCTGCTACCATGATTCCCCAGCACCCCTTCCTACCAAACCAGAAAGCCCCGACTCCAGTCCGCTTTGAACGCCATGGTGAGAAAAGAAAACCACCGCACGCCCCGGGGGGGGGGGGGGTAGGGAAGAAGCCAGAAAGGAACAAAACAAGTCACCCGTCGAGCCTGCTCACCATGCCTGCCGGCCTTGCCAGTGACAACCCCAAACAAACGGCCCTTGAAAAATAATAGATACAGCTGAAGAGGACATGACACGACACCTGCTCCCCCGGCACACAGCTCAGCTTCCCCATTAGCTGATGGTCGTGTGGCAGACGAGGCACACCAGCGGCTCCGTCCACACCTTGACGCCGCCCGTGACATTGGCCCGCAGGTCCCGTATCTCGACGACATTCTCCGCCACCTTGAGCGTCGCCTCGAACAGACCCTCGTACGGCCTGGCCGCGCTGGCCTTGCCGCGCTTGGGCACCTTGGTCTTGCGCAGCGAGCCCGGCGCCGCCGTGATGGTGCCCACCGTCGGCGTCCCCTGAGCGCAGCCGACCCCGCGCGCGCTGCTGCCCCGCGGCGTCGAGAGCCGCTCCTTGGCCGCTGCCTCCGCCTCGGGCGACGCGCCCGGCTTGGCGTCGATCGACTGCTGCACCTCGACGCCGTTATCTGGGGGGCTCAGCGGCCGGCCCGTCTCCTGGTCCAGCTTGCTGCCGTCCGTCTCGCCATTCTCCGCTGCGGCCGGTGGCGGCGGCGGCGGCGGCGGCGCAATATAGGGTTGGTCGGTGCCAAGGGCCGCAAAGGTCCGCATGAGGGCGTCGTGTTTGAGGCATTCGTCGTGGAGCCACGTGCTGCAGTTGGGCTGGGAGCACGCGACGAGCGTCTTGTCGGGATTCGCGGGCTGCTTGCACTTGCAGGTCCGATGCACAGACTGGCCTTGTTAGCACGACGAGGAATCCCATGTGCAGGAATTGGGGTGCTACATACCGAGAGGCTGAGGGTGCGAACGTCGAGCGCTTGTCGCCAGTAGAGGCCGTCTTGGATCTCGTCGTCGTTCTCCTCGAACCACTGCTTGACCTTGGCCTCGGCCGTGACGCTGACGACGTTGATCACGTCCACTGTGCTGCCCGTTAGCCTCGTGCTGCCGTCTACCCCCAGCCGAGGGAGGATACGTACTGTGGTTGGACGCGATGAGCTCGTTGACGCCGTGGTACGGCTGGCGGCCCGCGCGCGCCACAAACTTGCCGTCGTCCTTGGTCTGCACCGGCAGCTCCTCGGGCCAGTACATCCAGTAGATGCGCGCGTAGACGTGGTGCTCGTCCGCCGCGCGGATCTCCAGGATGCGGCCGACCCACTCGTTGGGCATCCTCTGCCGCACGCCGTTCTCGTCCACCTTGACCTGGTTGTTCGTCGGCGACGCCATGCCGTTGGAGATGTAGATGAAGCCCTCGCTGAAGTACTTGGCCGAGTTTACTAGCGCCCGTCAGCTGGTGGTCGCGAACGGTCCAGCCGCGTACGGCCCAGGCAGGCGGAACGCGAACGGCCCAGGCAGGCGGAATGCGAAACGCGAAAAGAGGGAAGCAGTCAAAAGAAGAAGAAAAAAACTCACAAACAAAGCTGTTATATCTCGTCATGGCCATCCACTTGTCCCGCGGCTCGACCCAGTAGCGGAGATCCATGTTCTCGTCATTCTTGAACGAGCCGGACGGCGTAAAGGGCGAGGGCTGGACCTTGGCAATCTCGTCCTCGTCGGCGTCGGCGCCGCCCGCGCCGCCCAGCTGCTGTGCCTGCTTCCGCCTCTTGGCCGCCTTGCGCGCCTTTGTCTTGACGTCCTCGCTCTCGTATTTCACCTCAAACGGGCACTCGGCCTTTGTGTCCTCGGCGGGCTCGGCCCGGCTGCGCTTCCTGGGGCTCGCCGACATTGTGTGCCGTGTGCCGTGTGCCGTGTGCCGTGTGCGTGCCGTGCGTCGCGCTTTGCTGTGTGCCCTCCGTGCCGCGATGCCGCGATGCCGCGAGGCCGGGTGAGGGAGGAATCGAGGGGCGAGAGCTACGCGCGCCAGAGGGGACCCGGTGCTTCGCGCAGCCGAGTAATGACAATGTTGTCCTTGGCGTCCGTCGTGTCTTCGTGTGTAATGTTTTTCTCTCTGGACCCCTTCCCCGCGGAGATGGAAGGTTCTCGTCGCGCCACGAAAAAAGCGTGTCGACCTGATTGTGACCTGATTGTTGACAAAGGCGAGAACAGAACGAGACGACACAGAGTAAGCTGGTCGAAGACGAGGGAAGGAAATTCCAGATCCGAATGCGCCCGGAATCCCAGACCGTCCAGCTACGCGATGCAATGGCGCAGAGGCGACTCGGAAACGGCGGCAATCGATTGCTGACGAGGCGTCGAATCAATGACCCGTGGGCGATGCGACGCGGACGGAATCGCGGGTTTGGGGGGGGGGGGGAGTGGCAGGAGGCGAGGCGAGCGGGCGGGTGGTGTTGTTGATGAAAGGTGGCAGAGCTGGAAATCTGCTAACTTTCTTGGGCGTGTCTTGGGGGGGGGGGGCTAAGGGTGGTGTGGTGCGGAATGGTGAGGGGATGCTCCTGGCGTTTGGCGGCTGCTGCTGCTTGCTGTGAGGGTATGCAGGTCCCTAGGTAGGTACCCTAAATGGATAGGTCTGTCGGTTCGTTGGTGTGGTCGAGCAAGGTCAAGGTCTCCCGAGGTCGAGCATAGACAGGTCAGGCAAGGAGCAAGGTACAAGGGGGAGACAAAAGGTCAAGCGCTTCGCAGCAGGACCCAAACCGGTGCAGAAGCGCGCGATCGATTTCTCCAGATTGCTGGCCTCCAAGCGTCCAAGCGTAACGGGCAACGAATCGGTCCCTGCGCGCCAGCCACCCCGAAAAACACGGTTTGCGTTCTGGTCGGGAGAGTGTCACGTGAGCAATGAGCGCGAGCTGTGGGCTGTGGCCGAGCTGCTCGTCACCTGTCTAGAGGTCCCTCCCTAGGTACCTAAGGTAAGGTACCTAGTAAATCTAGCACCTCCACGTCATTTAGCGTCTACAGCCCCAGTAGCTATACCTACCTAGCACCTACGGCAGCTAGCCACCTCAGAACTTCCTAAGCCTGCACCCTGAATCGCGCATCGCAGCCGTGGTTGCCAGACGAGATTGCCAAAGACTTGGACTCACCTAGCGTCACCGTATTCGCCTTGGTTGCATCCGGCGAGAAAGAAAGAAGCATAGTACACAGACTCAGCGTGAGATTCATATCGCCATGGATCATTTACATAAAAGGTAGCTAGGTATGTAGTAGCTAAATTATTATCACTCAAGTGTCGCGGTCATCTCCCAACGACCTGGAATGGACAAGTGCCAAACGCCAACGCTATGCAGTCAAAGAACGCAAAAAGCGGCATCCCCAACTCGGGGACGTGGGGAATCAACAACATCAGCGGCGCCTGTCGTTCTCCTCGTAGCCGTCGTCGTCGTCGTCATCGTACGCGCTGAGGATGGGCCGGTCCTCGCTGCCGCTGTCCGTGTCTGTGCCCGCGTCCTCCGACGCCTGCCGCACCTTGAAGCTGTCGATCGTCTCGGCCAACTTCTCGCCCTCGCGCTTGCCACGATCAACGTTGACAAACCAGATCAGAGGCGCCGGCAGCCCTACGAGCGCCGCCAGGAACCAAAACGCCGGCCGGATGTGCCCCCACCGATCAATGATGGCGCCGACAATCGCCGGTCCAAACACGCTCGAGCCCTTGTCGGTGATGGCGTACAGCGCGTAGAATGCCGCTTCCGAGCCCGGCGGGATGAGCTCGCCGTACACCGAGCGGCAGTACCCGCTGAGGCCGCCGAGGACGAAGCCGTACACCGCCGCGAGGGGATACATCTCCCACGGCTGCTGCAGGCCGCCGACGCCCCAGGTCTGCACGAAGGGGAGGTAGCCCAGGAGTCCGTAGACGGGGATGACCTCAAAGAGCCCGATGCAGGCGAGAATCGTCTGGTGCGGCTTCAGCCCGAAATGGCGCGAGATGAACGCCCAGCTAAAGGCGCCAATGACGCCGGCCAACGTCGAAATGACGTTGATCATGCCGAGCGCCCAGGGCTTCATGTGGAGCTGCGTCTTGGCGAAGAGAATGGCCGTCGACGAGGTGGTCGCGATGGCGTCAGAGAGGAGGAACCAGGCGGCTAGGAAGATCATGATGTCAAGGAGCCGCCGGGCCAGCTTGATCGTCTCGAAGAGCGACTTCCACGCGTACATGACATAGCCCACCCACGCCCACATGCCGGAGAACCCGCTGGCCGCGACAATGGGCAGCGGCGGCCCTGGTCGCGGTCGCAGCCACGACGCCGCGGGGAACGTGAAGATGGCCCACCAGGCACCGACCATGAAGAGGACGACCCGCTGCGACCACGTCGTGTTGCGCATGGCAATGAGCACGCCAATGGCAACACACTGAAGGAACAGACCCGCCGTGTAGCCGATACCGATGCCCTTGGCCGAGATTTGTGTCGACAGGTTCAGCTCCACCGACGTCAGCTCCTCGCGTGTCGCTTTGCGCGGCCAGTCGGGCGTGGCCATGTCCTCGGCGGCGGCGTTTGAGAGCAGCGGCGACGTCGCATCGGGGTCCGCGGGTGCCGCGTCCGATGCCGCGTCCGACTCGGCGCTGGCCCCCCTCATGGGTTGCGACTCGAGGTCCGTCTGGGCAAAGTCGGGCACATGCTTGTTCTCGGCCTCGATGACGTCGGGGTGATGGCGCACCAGGAGCGGCAGGAACGAGTTGAGCAGCACAAACGATGCGCCAAAGGACGTGTTGGAGATGATGGCGAGGAGGGCGCCAAAGAGGTAGGTGTCGGCGCTGACGAAGATGTACAACATGACGGCCACGCTGCCGGTCCACGCGAAGCCGAGGAGCAGCTTCTTGCGAAAGTTGCCGTGGTCGGCGGCGCAGCTGATGCTGACGACGAGCAGGGCCTGGACGAGGACGCTGATGGAGAAGGTGTACATGGCGAAGCTGGCCGTGTTGACCTCGGCGCCAAGGACGTAGACGACGCATTGGCCGTCGGCCTTGTTCTTCGAGTCGCTGGTGCCGCAGGGGGTGGTTCGGTCGGAGAGCAGAACGCCGTTTTCGCGAGCGAGGGTTTCTAGGAGGATGGGGATGAAAGAGCCTGGAGGTTGTCAGATGTTAGAGGGACGGAGAAGTGGTGATGATAATGGGACACGGCTCGGCATACCAATAGCTAGGAAGACGGGTCAGCTCAAAGCGCAGAGGTGTCAACGTGTCAGAGACAGGCAGACAAAAAAGACGGACATACCACAGATGACATAGGTCTCGGCAGCAAAAGCGTAGGCATACCATCCAGCGAGCTCCTTCTGCGAGGTCGGCCTCGTATCCTCACCACTGTAGCGGCCCGGCGGCGATCCATCGTCACGCCCATGACGGTCCCCGTTGCGGCCGGACATGGCGGGAAACAAAAGCTGGCGGTGGTGGTAGTCGTAGTCGCCGTCGTCGTCCTCGGATTCGGAGCGCTCGTCGTCGGCTTCGAAGGACGAGGAGAAGGAGATGAAGGACTTCTTGGAGAAGTTGGACAGGCGCGACCAGAGACGAGGGGCGGGTGGTGGACGGGCATGGTTGTCCTGGCGCGGGACCATGACAAGTGATAGCTGTCTCCCCGTGTCCCTTTCAGGGGAGACGGGAGCCCGTGACAGCCTGGTTCGGGGGGCGTGCCTCTGTGTACCTCAGGTACTCGAGCCAGGTACTCGAGCCAGGTACCTTGAACGGGCAAAAGGTCGCCTGAACGGGGAAAGTGGATGGGGAGGGGGCACGGCTGACCGGCCTGTTTCAGCCGGGTCGAACCACTAGAGTAGGTGCAGGCAGCCTGGAATGGGGGATGGGGGGTGGAGAGGGCGCGACGGCCTGGGCTCGGCTGCTGTACCTTGGTTCTCGGGGCAGCAGGTCCCCTAGACGCGCCACAGGATGAGCCACTCGGCGGTTTCTTCGGGGGGCAGCCACACAGGCGGCACGCGGCACGCGGCAGGTGACAGGCGGGAGGTAAGGCAGGTAGGGAAGGTGCGGGTCGTATACAGCACCAAGGCCAAGAGGGGAAGGAGTTGGGGAAGAGGGAAGGAGAAGGAGCAGGAGCAGGAGGAGCAGGAGGAGCAGGAGGAGCAGGAGGAGCAGGAGGAGCAGGAGGAGCAGGAGGAGCAGGAGGAGCAGGAGGAGCAGGAGGAGCAGGAGGAGGAGGAGGAGGAGGAAGGAGGAGAGGGCGTCCAGGTAGAAGACTGAGGCAGTAGCAAAGAAGGGGGGGGAGAGAGAAAGAGAGAGAGCGAGGGGAGAAAACATCCAAGCAACCGGGGAGAATATGGACTCCGCTGTGCATTTGAACGACAAGAAAAGCGACGCGCACGACAGGCCACGTCTGGCTTCCTTCGAGTTTTCGACCATTTCCACACTGGGCATAATGGTGCTCGTGCTTCGCCCACGACCGACCGACCGACCGACCGCCCCTCTGCCGGGTTGACCCAACATGCACCAGCGAACCCGCCATGGGGCAGGAGACAAGCTAGGAAGAGGCATGGCACGGCGATGCAAGGCTTCCCTCCCCTTCTCTCTCCCATCTTGGCCATTTTGGCCATCAACCCCATGGATGCCATGGATGCCATGCCTGCCATGACTGCCAGGTGGGATCCCTGCTGCGGCATCCCCGCTTGGGTTTCCTGCTCGAGCTGCCCAACTGACCAACAATCCTCGCATGCGGCCCTCCACCACCCGAACAGCGAGAGGCAACGCAACCAAAGCACGGCACCATGGAGATGCGCCCCAGAGCGCCATAACAATGCGGATCTCGAGGAGGGGCGAGGTCTTCCCGTTCTCTAATGGGGCAAAACCTCGCCAGAAGGGGTGTGCTAGTCTTGCGCTAGCCCGTCAAGCCGCCGCTCACAGGCAGCTCGGCGTTGGCATCTCATCATTGAAAGAGGAAGACAGCAGCTGAGAGTGTCGTGCGCCCACAAGGTAGTATTGCCAGGGTCGGATCAAATTTATGGGCAGATGGGCAGCAAGAAACCCGTTTTTGTCAGCTCTTGTTTCGCCGGGCTGCGGGAAGCAGAAACATGGCAAGGCTGATCATCCGTCCCCTCATCCCTTTTCCCCTTCCACCCAAGCGGGTTGCAAAAAAAATGAGACGTACCAGATCCCTCCCCCATAACCATTCCTACTACCCAGCTATTCAGCTATACATTTCTATAACGACTCCAGAGCTTCAGTCTAGGCGAAAAGCCTTTCTTTAAAATAGTGTACATTATACTGATCTATAAACTCAATAGTCACTATAATTCTAGATCTTGTAGGTGTCTCGTAGTA